ACATTTGCTCCTTGGCTTGTGTCTTTATTGCTTTCTAGTAGTGTTTTATGATAAAGGGCTCTCTTACAAAGGGAGCTGAAAGGAAAATTAAAATTGATTCAAGTATACAAACCCAAAAAGGAAAATAAGGGTTATCTCGCGTTTCAGCTAACTGTTATAAATATCAATATTTCCAATGCGTTCTTTTCCTCTTTGTTTTTTCCTCTTTTGAAATAAAACTAAGCACGGGAAAGACAACAAAGTAGGTTAAAAATAGCGTATCTTTCAGATTCATATCTATTGTCCAACATAATAAAGTTTGTCTATAACACTAAAGAAAAGTAATTTATAAGTCAAAACCTTGTCCCAGGCATCTTAACCAACTGCTTACGAAGATCCATTTTGTTCACTGCCTAAGTATACATGCTCGTCTCCAAATATCACGCACTATTATAGACTCCCTATCCTTCCTTTTAAACTTGTTACCGGCTCGAAAACTGTATTTTTTCTCTAGTGCTTCTTTCTGGTTCTCTCGTTGGCCTCTTGTATATATTACTCTTTACGAGCTTGATCACCTATGCCACGAACAAGATATACCGTCTCCACCACCTGGCTTAGGGCAAAAGTTCCTCCATTGGCTTCCTCCTCCTCCTCTCTCCCCTCAACATCTTTCGATCTAATAGACTTTTTAGATTCTATGTATCTTTTTTGATCTGGCCTGGGCGGGACGAAATTATAGTGTTTCAATGCGCCCATAGTGGCCTTTTATTTTCCTTCATAAAATATTTGTTTAAATGTATAAAAAGTCAAGCTTATTCAAAGACGCATAAAAAAAGATCAGGCTTCATTGGTTACCGAAAGTTGCAGTTGACGTTATTTCCAAATTAGGCAAGTGCGATGGTATCTGTGTGTAGTAAGGGGTGACATATTTTCACAAGATTGTGTGTGGGGGCAATGAATAAAATTTAAATGTATTACATAATGTATAGATATCATGGCTATATAGATGTTAAGAAAAAAGCAGGGACATTATTGATGAGATAAAGGATCAAGAGAATTCATAAAGGAAGGATAGGGATTCTGTGAGCTAGAGGACTGTCTAGGAGTATGTGGCGAATTGGGAGAATAGAGTGAGCTAGCAGCATCTAATTCATCATCAGAGATAAGCATGCTCGGACTGGGACTGGGTGGTAATGGACTACGGAAGGGAGATAACGACCTTGTTGAAAATGGCAAATTTTGAGTCTGAACCGTTAGTGGTGACCTATGAAGCATATCATTCAAGAGACTGTCATGGCTTGGTTGATTTGAAGAAGGGTCATGAGAAGTAATGAAGATTGAAGGGGGTTGTTTTCTTTCCACTTGATCTAAATTTAATTCTGGTGGCAGTTGGCCTAGTAATTTAAGGATCAGATAAGTCATGTTGACTAGCACGTGCGACTTACCACCATTTTGCTGGGAGATATAATGTGTCATTGTTCTGATGATTTGAGTTTGTTGGTCTTGCTTTTGCTTTAATTCCTGCATTTCCTTCATAACTTGTGAAAAATTTTCATACAAGTTTTGAATCTGCTGCATTAAGTCGGTCTGGGATGCCTGCATCACTTGTAAGTGGCTCTGAATGTCACCTGTCTCGCGTTTGCCAGTCTCTGATTCGAGGGCTTTACGTTTGATATCATCTAGTAAATCTGGTCGATTTCGTAGGAACTTTGGATGCGAAAATTCCCAGATCTGATTCTCTGCTAATGTGCGATGTCCTCTTGGCGACTTGTTCACTTTGTGAAAACCATACCTATCAGGCGTTGTGAGACAAAGTTTGCGGACATTTAAATCCGAAAATAAGTACTAACATATTTAGTTGTCTCACAAAACTTGAAAAATTATTATGTTTGAAGTGTTTTGGCAAGACATCCCTTGAGAATTCCATAATATTACAGACAATAAAGGAAGAACCTGAGTATGCCCATGATATCAGGTGCTGGTAATGGGTATCAATGACCATACTACATATACTTAGTTTTTTTTTTTGTTTTTTTTTTTTTTGTCATGATTATCTTACTTGTATAGTTTGTGAACAAATGTATTTGTGTGAGTTGGTTTTGCTGTTGTATTAGGAGGAGGCGGTGGTGGCAGTGAATGACGCTCTGTATAGATACTTGGATTAAGTGATCCATTAAAATAATCTGAAGAAGTACTTTTTCGATGCATAATGTGTAAAGTAAAGAAGAAATGTGAAAGAGAGCAGTTAGTGCCGTTTAAGCGGGAATTAATGATAGATATACACAGCATCTGACGACGAATGAAAATCGAACGACTTTACATTATTTTGAATTTCCGTATAAGCACTATTTTTCATTCACAAAAAAGAAAAACGTAAACAACACTTGTGATATAGTTGAAGTAGTAACCAAAGAAAGATGCCCAGTGAGTCTTTATACTATAGATTGAGCCATGAAGACAGAACTATGTGAGTTAATTATAGCCAATGAGAATCGAATATATTGCGCTTTACAAAAATAGCGTTTTTTATAATCAGTCTCTTTTTGTGTTGTTCTTTCTTAATCTCATACTACAAGTATTTATAAGTGTAAATACGAAAGCTTCATGACATGGATAAATCAAACAAAATGTTTCTGAAGCATCAAACTATGGTAGACACCCTATCAAAAGCCTTGTTAGATGCTTCAGAAGGAGCTTTTAATGTCACTGATGCAGACTGAAACGAAACGAGATCAGATGTCTTTTATACACCAGTCTTAAAGCTAGTGGATAATCACCTATCTTTTGATTGATAATATGAATATAAAATGGATGTTGTGCTATGAGTACTTCTTAGAGACAAAGATCTCATTATCACCCTTCCCGCCTGATACATACTTTCTTTAACATGTTTACAACAGAACAAAAAGAACCATTACTTTATTATGTATACAAGTCATGTTCGTTCACTATAGCGCCATCCAACAGAAAATCAATGCCTGAGCCCCGATATTCCGTTCCTTTTTCTGGAAAAGTAGCACCGACTAAGTACGCATACCTGTAGTTGACCCGACGATCAAAATCAAAACCAAATCTGGTACAGTCAAACCGAGCGTTTTCCAAGTTGCTATGTGAAAAATCAGAGCGTGGATCAATATGGTAACCAGAGAAGTCCAGGTTAGCCAAATTGCGCTTCGACAGATTGAGTATTATGGGCTGATAACTAGATGAATTTGCTGGAAGTGGGTATAAGTCGTGTAGTTCTTGTTGCGTGAGTGTGGGTAAACGTTGCCATTTTAGCTTGAGTAAATCTAAATTGTGAAAGGGTTTGTATTTATAGGTTCAATCTATTGATGATGTATACATATTACCAGCAATTTTATAAAACCTGGCTTCCTGCATTAATTCATCCATGCTATGCGCACACATACAAAAAAAGAGTTACAACAAGCTTAACTTTACAATGTTTAACTACTCACATCTTTGGATCATTCGCTACACCAGTAGGAATCTAGTGTATTTTTAACGTACTTAGTATTAACTTAAGGGTGTTGTCAAAGTGTACCTTTAAATCTCGCAAATAGTTCAGCACAAGTCTAAAATAGGTTCCATCCCGATCAATAAAGTAAGAGTTATCCGCATCCGGTTTTACTGTCTTTGGCTCTAATCGTACATCAATGCTACAGAAAGCGACAAGCACATATATACGTTTTACCTCCAAACATATAGGCTAATATTGAATTTGGATCCTTCCTTAATGTCGACAAGGACGTCTCAAATAACTGGCCTCCGACATTTAACTTGACTTTCTCATCCTGTTGTCGACGCACTTTCGTTATCCATACCTTTTCTTTTTCATATTGCTCTTTTTCAGCCATCAAACGTATTTGATGATTATGAATATCGTCTGATAGTGTATCATAACTTTGATACATTCTGTCATTGAGTACAATATTGTCTTTTTCATGTGTGTCATCAAGCTCTTTTAACGCCTGAAGTTGATTAGCAATGATTTGCTGAAGATCTAATAGTAGAAAGTTAAGACTCCTCTTTTTTTTTATGTGTCTTTTTACTTTGCTTTTCTTGTTTAAAAGGGAAAAGCAATTCATTCCATTCTTCTACATAATCATTTTCGTGTTGCAGTGGCGTCGATACGGCTGTTGTAGTCGTATTTTTAGCTAAGTAGTCAAAGAATTCAAGAGGATCCATTTGTTTTGAAAAGAAAACAAAAAGAAAAAAAGAGGTAATGTGTAACTGCTCGTGATCATTTTTATTATTATTCAAGTGTATGAGCACAGCGTGTGCATAATTGATCTTGTTCTGTTGAATAATAATTCCAGCAACGAGGACATTTATGATGTTGAGATCTTTGTAGGGCAATTTTACATTTATCGCCTAGTAAAACAGAAATGGTGCATGTTAATAGATCGTGGATATTAAACAGATGTTCCCTCCTTTTCTTACCTTGAATTGCAGATTCTCTTTCTGTTAATAGATTATCTCCTTTTGGATCAGTATTAATGTAAACATGAGACGTCATGAATAAAGAAGATAATTCTGCTGGCTGTAAGGACTGAAGAATATTTGCCAATTTCGTACTACTGTCCAAGTAAAGAATAACTTCAGCCTCTTGAGAAGTACGGATATGCCTGTAAATAGTGAGGGAAATTAGTATGCTTTCATAATACTATATACACACACACACGTACTTTTCTTGTCGCACTTTTTCTAATGTTTGATTGATTTCTGACTTGAGATCCAAGAGCACGGACCACTTTTCATTTATATTATTATTATACCATCTGTCATCCTAATAATATATATATATATTAGACCTTATATTAGCTAACTGATGGGCTTACAGAACGGAGCCAGCCAGTCTTGAAGATAGTTGATTGCGGCTCAGGGTTTAGGTGTTTGTAGTGATCAAAGATTTCTTCTGCTGTATGACAGACAAAGGGTGCAATCGATGTCGTATACGATCTGAGGATCTCATAAAGGACTGTTTGTGCCATGCGTCTGTTTAAACAATCGGCGGGGTCATTATATAATCTATCTTTAATTGTATCAAAATAAAAAGACGACAGCGTGTTGTTTGTAAAGTTTTGAACATGTTGAACAGCTATTGTTCAATATGGTTTAGCTATGTTTCAGAGTTTACATATGGATATTACCTTTGTAGAAGGAGTATTCATCAAATGCTTTTGTTACTGCCTTATTGTACTCATACAATTCGTATAACATATATTTATCAATCTAAAAGCCCCAAAAATGGTTGGTTCTGTTATATAAAAACAAGATATGGGCTTTACCTCGGCAAGTTTATCATAATCTACATAGTTTTTCAATTCGAAATCATGCAAGTTTCCTAACAGGAATCTAGCTGTCGTACGGATTTTTCTCAAGTTATCAGATATTGTGGCTATTATACAAAATGTTATATCTTCTTTCTCTTTTCAGTATATTATATTCAGTGTACCTATAATGGATGGGCCAATCGTCATATCCTTTGTGTAATCACAGCTTGCTACCCAAAGTCGAAGTACATCGCTGCCATAAGCAGGATTTTTCTTCTTGTCCTATTAAAGCATAAATTGATCTGTCTCTTAAACACAGCAAGTCCCATACCTTTCCTCCTCTTGTGATAAGCGCAGGTTCAATCGTATTTCCTAAGCTCTTTGACATTTTATCTCCTTTCTCGTCTAGTGTAAATCCATGTGTAATCAACGTATTGTATGGCGCCTTTCCAGTTAAAGCGACTATATGTATGCCTTAGTACATGTATCTTTTTGTTTATCAAAATTTATATTACTCGATGTCAATAAGGAAGATTGAAACCATCCTCTATGTTGGTCGCTTCCTTCAAGATAAACATCAGCTACTGGTTTATTTGGATCTCTATCAAGTTACGTGTTAGTTCTCTCTTTTATATATATATATATATATATATATATGTATTTACCTTCCAGGTATGTTTTGAAGCATGGTCCATGATGATCCACTGTCAAACCAAACGTCCATGGTGTCATATCCACGCTTATAAACTTTTCCATTATTTCTGTATTCAGGTGCAACGAATATGTTGTCGTCTTTTTCATTCCACCAAGCATCTGTTCCCTTTTCGTTTAGCACACTAATGATATGTTCTATCGAGTTCTCAGTTAATAGTGCTTGGCCGTCCTGGTCATATAAGGCTGGAATGGGCACACCCCATGATCTTTGACGAGAGATACACCATTCTTTTCGTGACAAAGTAAACTGTTGTAAACGGCGAATGGCTAAATCATATGCTTAGTTTGTATTGTATATAAGCGTGTATACGTACAGCTCTTGGGAATCATTTCCACCTTTTCCAATTCCTTTACAGCTGCTTCTTGCAAGTTTTCTACATTGGCAAACCATTGAGCTGTTGCACTAAAAATAATAAGTAAATATTTGTGTCAATCATAGAAAAAAGAAAGAGTTTCTTACCGCAACATAACAGGCTGTTTTGTTCTCCAATCATATGGGTACTTGTGTATGTAATTTTCCTTTTTCACAAGAAAAGATTGATTCTCAAGCAAGTTGATCACCGTGTCATTTCCTTCCTTGAATGCAAACTTTCCTTCAAAGTGAGGCCCTGCCTCTTTTGTAAATTTACCTTCGTCATTTACTAAACTGAATGGCTGGATATTGTTTGCAAGACATACTTCATAATCCTCCATACCATGTCCAGGTGCAGTATGAACAAGAGCTGTTCCGGATTCTGCAGTAACATGATTTCCAGCAAGTATGGGGTAATGTTTTGAGCTCAATGGGTGTTGATAAGTCGAACCAACCAATTGATTTCCTTTAAACGTATCGAGTACACTCAGTTTCTGCTCTAATTCTTTCTCCAATGCCTCTAAACGATCCTTGCCAACAATCCAACATTGTTTCTTATCAGCTGCTTCAACAACACAGTAATCCAAATCAGGATGAACGCAGACTGCTCTATTGGAAGGAATGGTCCATGGTGTTGTGGTCCAAATAAGTGCATTGATCTGCTTGTCTTTCCACTTCTTGAGAATAGGCGATGAAACGATAGGAAATTGTACATGGATAGATTTAGAAACGTGGTTGTCCTTATATTCTAGCTCTGCTTCTGCCAATGCTGATTTTGAAGAAGGTGACCAATACACTGGCTTTAATTGTCTATAAATGTAGCCTATAATACGTGTTAAATGTTGGTCTGTCTTTATATCCTTTCCTCGAATACCTTTCTTGACCATTTCTTTTAATACACGAAGCTGTCGGATCTCAAAATCTCCTTGAAGTGTCAAGTAGGGATTATTCCAATCGCCCATCACTCCCCAGCTCATAAAGTCTTCTTTTTGGCTTTCAACTACAACTAGCGCATTTTTTTTAGCAAGTTCTCGGAGATGTATAGGTGATAATGATGAGGCATCCTTCTATATAAAAAGTTGTATGTATAAATCAACTAGTTCAACAGTTTTCATTCTTTCTTACTTTGATCATCTCCAAGGTTTTAAGTTCAATAGGCAACCCATGACAATCCCATCCTGGACGATAGCTATTGTTCAAATGGTGTTATTGTACACTTTTCAAACGTTCTCTCTCCTTACTATATCTTGTGTCCTTGAAGTAGTTTGTATCGATTGATGATGTCTTTGGTGATTTTATTCAAGGCATGCCCTAAATAGACAGTATAAATAAGTAAGTATATACATACATATTTTGCATAGTACCCGCATGCACGTTTCCATTGGCATAAGGTGGTCCATCGTGAAGGATAAAGAGATCTTTTGGATTATTTTTGAGCTTAAAAATGGTTTATATATCATTCTTTTCTCCATGGATCTTCTATACTATGTATATACCTGCCATGGATACAATTCGTTCGTACAACGATCACGAAACAAGTGCTCTCTATTGGCTGCGTCTGCTCGAAGAGGGAAACTTGTCTTTGGTAACAAAAGCGTCTTTGTATATGGATTCTCTTTTGCCTTATAAGCAACTGATGTAGTCCAGAATGCTCTTCTTGTTCCTTTCAGCTGCTGCTGTAATAAGCAGCGAGCACTTGCTAATGTCATTTCAAAAAATAGACAGCGACAAAAAAGAGAGAAGAGAGTCTTTATTTGACAGGGACCAAAATGGACGAAAAAAAAAAAAAAAAAAAGCGGCATTTGAAAACGTCTATTTCCTCTGCTACTGTATGGTTAAACAGTCTTTTATTAAACCCAAATGGCTTACTGAGATACCAAAATCAAATATCACTCTTTTGATGTACAATATACTTCATAATTTATACATCAAGTTTCATTCTTTACTCATTTTCTTAATCGTCGCCATGCGCACAGGTGTAGTAAGAGAGGTATTGCCATTTCAGTAGAGGATATGTGCTCTAACCGAAAGCTCAATGGCACTTGCTTTGTTTTTAATTAAAAATCTATTTCAGATTTGATGGACGAAATAATTAGGTGAAGTTTATAGAACCCAGTTACCAATTCAATCAAAACTATTATCAATTGAATTGGACGATCCTGGGCACTCGTGAGCATTTGTACTAGGAGTTAGTGCATTCGCTAGCGCCTTGGTTGGCTCAGTGGAGGTAAATCCTGGGCATATACAGCTGCTTCGATCTTCTCCTCCCTATTGATAACACACTTTCCTTTTTATCTGAACAAGATCCCTCATAGGCATCCAAATTCATCCGTGACTGTTGCCAGATGGGAACAATGGGAGATAACGATTTCATACATACTACAAGACCTTAGATAGCTTAACCGTCAAATGCACATCGGATCGTCTCTTCAAGGTATTGGTCAAAACTCTTTTATCATCTGGTTCTCATTTAAGGAGATTGTTCAGTCTCTTGTGGTTCTTTGAACAGGCCCAGGCGACTTTTTTTTGATTTGCGGACTCCGCGCCCAAGTATGATTTGTTTTTGTTTCAATAAAGATTTATCTACTCTTTTCAAAGGCAATGGGGCGGTTCATTCCTTTTATGCTCAAGACATCAAAGCTGGTTATTCAGTTCAGCTGCTTTGCTCATCTTTTTAACCAACATGTGTTTGAAATGACTTGGGTAAAATCTATAATTCATTTACTAGATCAAGACAATTAACCTAGTATAAAGTGTTTAGGCCCCTCAATGCTGCCCTATTTTGACATGGAAGGAATTGTAGGTGTTGAGCATATCACACAACGTTTTAGAGAGTTAAGAATCGGTGATGTGATCGTCTGTACTTCGCCTGCTGTGCCAGGAAGAGCTGTTTTGAAAAGAATTATTGGCATGGTAAGTTGGACTTTTTTTGATAGGAATACGGTTATGAATAATATATTTTTGAAGCCAGGTGACAATGTTTGTGTGGATCCAACGGTGAGAGATCGAAAATATATCAGTGTACCTAAAGGACACGTGTGGGTAGCTGGTGATAATCTGAGTAATTCATTCGATTCAAGGGGTTACGGACCCGTCCCGATGGGTTTAATTAAAGGAAGAGTGTTTGCAAAGGTATTTCAGGATATTCATATTTACATTTGTCTAATATTTTTATTTCAAACAGCTTTGGCCACAGCCTCAATTACTAAAGGATATTGTTGTACCTATTACTTAACAAAGGGAGGGTATATTGTATATACATAAATCTAGAATGGATTTTTTTCATATAAGCCTCTATCTTTAACTGTTCCCTCAATCCATAGTCGAACTCTTTTCATTCTTTCTGTACGATTCTATTATTTCATATAAATACATTGTATGCATGTTATATAAAGTATAAATATACCTTTTCATATGTTGCCAGTCTTGATTCATTTGCCATTCGCTTGCACAATTTTTTTCTGTGCTCTTCCAAATGTAGCTTTATTGTTGATTTGACAGCATGTAATTGCTGTTCTTGACTAATAGGTGGAGTAATAATAGAATAAGCCTCTGGTAATTTGTCAACAGGTTGACAAAAGGGACAGATCCAAAGACCTCCAGCTTCCTCAAATTCTGGTAATGGGAACTATAAAAGGTGGTTGGTTATTTTTATAAAGCCAAAAGAACAACTATAGTAGAGACCTGTTGTAAAATGTGTTTCTTTTGTGTGTCTTGAACAAGTCCAGTGATCATCAAATGGAACAAAAAAAATTGTTAAGAATTTATTTAAATAATAATTATGATTTCAAATTATAGGCCTGAGACACTCTTCTAGAATGCTTCCCTGATCCTTCTTCATTAGGTACGTTTGTAACAGAGGCTGCCTTTAATGAATAGACCAATTGGATCATTTGATCTTCATCTTTATCCAGTTTCATACCATGTTGCGATGCATAACTCTGTTCTGCGCGTAAGATGGATCGTATCTGATTCTGGCACTTGTCAAACACTTGTGCGTTGTGACGAAGGGTAATGCTGTCTGTAACAAGACGATACTTTTCAATTTCATGACAGAGAGATGCAATATCCGATAATTGTAGCAGTATATTTTCACAGTCTTCTTCCCCATTTATCTATAAAGAAGTAAGCTTTAATGTATAGATCAACATGTGAATCATTGACTTACTAGCTCAATATTCTTTCTACTCGAGACCATGACGAGATCTTCATTTGTTGTTACGCCAAGTTCAAGCAATAGGATTTGAGCATCAGGAGACAGTTTCGTCTTGGGATGAACAGCGTCAATAAAGCCAATTGCCAAAAAGTTATCGACTGCATTCTGACTGGCTTCAGTCGACAATACCTCCCTATAGACTGTTCTCCTACCCGTGATCAAGTGAGCTGCTATCCACTGGGATAGCACGGGCACGATCTTGCGAGGCATGTACGGTAAATCTCTTAATGCTGATAACGAGCATGATGTGATCCAGTATGCGTCCAAAGTAGGGTATATAAATGACGCTAGTATACAAACACGGGTATACTCCCCTTCGTTATTCTCCAAAGTCACTGCTTTCTCATATTCCTCTTGTTCATTCTTCACAAGCAGGTTCTTTTTTACAAACCAACTCAATAAAAGATCAAATTTCTAAAAACAGCAGTTAGCCTTCTTGTTACGTTTTCTATGTTATATATATACCTCTTCCCTATTCCATGGATAAATAAACTCATGTCTAAATAAACGCACTAAAAACGTAAACTGAGCCAGCAACTCTTTACGTGTGGCCTTTTTCATGGAGGTTGACAAATAAACGACAGAAAAGAGTGCTTCTGGTAAAAATATCTCGATCAATTGACTTGCCATATACGAGAGATCCATGACATTATCAGCGTGCTCGACTACTCTGATAATCGTTTGATCTGTAATACGCTTTCCATCCATGGTCACGTTATTTCGTGCATCCAAGATTTGAAGTGAGTAGGAAAGAATGGTATGCACATCTTCATCAGGCTGCCAATCAACACTAATGTTCTTTTCTAGTAGTTCCTTGTGGAGCCATGTTATGTGTTTACACACTGTACCCAACGTAATACCCCCAGTCGTTCTTCCAAACAACAACGTTGCGGCAACTAGTGTCACAGGACTGACCACGGAGGCTTCATGTTGACCACGCTGAATCTTTTTGGCAATAAAATCAGCAATGGCATCTTCATCTTTAACAGGAATAGCACTGGATAGAGTTAATATACATAAAAATCACTACTGTTAAAGTACCTTTTTCGCTTGTTATCTGAAAGGCTTGCTTCCTGAACACTCGTTCGTATATCGACAGGATTTCCAAAACCAACAAAGACACGACCATATTTACCTTGCTCTGAAATATTATCTTTTGTAGCTGCTCTACCTGCTACTGCCGAACTTGGGCGCAAGAAAGCAGTTGATGTCACGTTCAGACTGTTTGTCCGGGGCTTTTGATCCAAGACCTGATCAATCAGTGTTCTCAATTCTGGAATCTTTTCATAGGTAATATTGACAGGAACAAATATCGTGTCCTTCTTGATGGTCGAAAATGATTCGGTTGGAGAAGGTAATAGTTCGTTTACACTCTCGCTTCTGGACTGATGATGGCCTAGGGTACCCTCGATAATCATGTTGATCACCCCGTCATGATAGGCTGTCTGAAGTCGGCCAGTGCGAGACCGAGCGCGTTCGATGACCATGGACAGTGCACCATGCTCGTTCAAGAGAACCTCAGTATAAGCTGCTGCGACGGCTGTGTTTAGAGGCGATCGAGACGCAAGATCGCGTCGGACAAAGTAAGCACCACAAATGCGAAGTATATCAGAGACTGGGCCGAGCAGAGCCAGTGCTTCGTCACAGACGATGGCAGGCAGAGGAAGCTCGTATCGCAAGCAGATGTACCATACGAGGATTTGGTCAATGATCGTTTTGGACACAGGTACATAAACGACGTTTTTGCTCTGGCATTCTTGTCGTAGTCTCATGATGTCACTTTCACGTACACGAAGACTAGTAAACAGACGTCCAAAGAGCGCATGGAGGAAGGAGCCGGCAGACCAGATATAGTGTAGCTGTGTTCGTTCACGCATGCGTTGAAGAATCTTTAGTGCTTCTCCTACCACCGTCTTTTGAGGAACGCCCGAAGTTTCGACAATCTATTGAAAGAGTTGATTCACTTGCTTTCAATGGAATCGTTTAGAATTACCTGTTTAATGCAGTTTCCAACTCTTTGATCGTTTAGTACTTCAATCCGAACATGCTCCTCATCTGGACGATTGAGCCAGTATCCCAAATGACCCATATTCTTCGTATCCTTTAATCGATCAGAGTCATCGTGACACCAATCATCCAAACTTGCGTCAAAATCATTTACCCATTGCTCCATCTTCTTCTTGTCTTTTAATTCTTGATTAGGGTTCTCCAAAGACGCAATTAGTTCGTTCAGCATACGATCTGTTCTCTTTTCAATATCAGATGCGCTAAAGATGACAGACTCGATAGGTCGGTCAATGATCGGATGCTTCTTTTCTGGCAAGACATAGAGCGAACAGGACCACCCGTCGGCGACCGTGATGTTTCTCAAGCCAGCAGGTGGTGATGGAGAAATATACGCGTGTGTACCGTAGGCATAGTTTACCATATACGTATTCCAGTCAAGGTCTTTAAATTTGGACACGTCGAACTGACCGTCACCTGCAATGGCCTGTTCCAGATGCTGTACGTTCTGATGATCAAATAGCCAATGATGGCGTAGGAATGGCTGAATCGACTCCACTACACGTGAAGCCAGCTCGATTGTTCGACTGACGGCATCAGCGGATTTACCGTTGATGGCCGAAGACAACGACTGAGGTAGTTTGTACTTCATGAAAAAGCTCGATTTGAATAATGATCGTCCTGCTCCAAAGTAGTCCTCTGCGCTGGGAAGAACTTGTTTTGAATTGCGAGACCAGTAGGTGCGAACAGCCTCATAGGCGTTTTTCCATGTCGTATGGCTCACGAGTCCGGTAGCCGATAGTTGATAGATGTATGGGAAATACTGGATGTTGGGTATGACAATACTGTCTGTGTCGTCGTTGTCTGCCAAGACTTCGTTATAAGGCAACACAAACTTGTAGCCTGGTTTGGTCATGAAGGCAGCACTGGCAATCAGGACGCGAGCGAAATAATCAACTGGTATGATATCGGCCATGCTTCTATTTATATCAGGCGGTAGCACTTGAATGCCCTTACCCATCAAGTAGACAAGACCATTTGCACCTGTAATACCATCAGCCTATGATCATTTTAATAACTTTGAAGTATTGAATATATTTCATTTTTATACCCATCCTGGTAAGGGTTCATCAGCAGCAGCACCCACCTGGGTGGCTCGTACAATAGCGACTGGCCATTGAGCCTTGCCACCTTGAGCCTCTTCTACACGGTTTATGTCGACTCGCTTCATGATCAAATGTTCTGTCAGTGACTTGGTGAATGTATATGTGTTTGGGTAATGGCTCAGGATACGCTGAGTCATTTTGGGAATATCTTGAAGTTCAAGATTGACAATTTCGGTCAACAAATCTTCTGGATCGCCAACTTTCATTGGATAGACGCGTTCCTGAACATGGCCATTGGGTAAACTTGGGTCAGTATAGGCTAAGGATGCATGAATGAATGCCTCTACAACAAGGGATTATTAGTTCTTTTTTCTTATTATTATTATTATTATTACCCATATTTTTACATTCATCTGCCAAATCCATCATTCTTAATGTGCCTAGGGTATTTGTCTAAGGACAAAAATTGATTAATAGGAGACATTTAATAATAATCCCTTGCTTTACTTCTAATGCAAGATCTAATCTTTCATTATAATTTAATGCAGCAGCACAGTGTATCACAATATTGACATTTTGAACAATCTGCTCCCGGTCTGCCTCAGTCATTGACAAGTCTGGTGAGATAATATCACCAGCAATAGGAATAATCTTGTTCTTGACTATATCATCAAATACTGCCTTCCCTATCTGCTGTCTCAGTAATACAAAAGCCTGACAAAAATAAATGAGAAATGATGCATATTAAAAGTCACTTCTCTCTCACCTTGTTACTGAATATCTCATTCTTTAATCTTTCTGCTGGTCTACCAATCTTACTACGCTTATTACTTCCACTTCGAATAAGAATATAGACTTGACCGAGATGTTGTCTGAGAGATTGAATCAGCTTCCACAAGATGGCTTTACCGATGAACCCTGTTGCGCCTGTCATTAAGATATTTTTATTTTTATAATAGTCGACGATGGGTCCCTGAAAGTGTGTTTCGTCTAATGGAGGTAGACTATCTTTCTGGGAACTATTGTCACTATCATTGCTACTGCTACTGCTGCTATTACTATCATTGCTGACGATGGTGGAGGGTGACGCTATTGTCTCGTCTTCCTTTATTTCTATATCGTTTTGATCGAGTTCCTGATCGTTATTGTTATCATCTGTGATGACAACCATAGGAGGGGCTATAGTATCCAATTGTTCTTCTTGGTTGGAAACATTCAATGATGTATCATCTAGATTATCTGCTTGATTATCCAAACTGTTTTGTTTGGTATTATCCTCTTCTGACATACTATAAAACTAAACCCTTTTTAATAGAAAAAAGGGGGGTTAACAATTCTCTCTTTGACTATAACTTATGAAGCGTCATATAAAAACTTACCCAAATATAAAAGTAAATATAGAGGAAAAGAAAGTAAACGGAAAGAAAAAAGAATAGGAAAAAAGAGGAGAGAGAAGTAATATAAAGGAAAAAATTTAAATTGAATGCGTGATTAGGCTTCAATGGATTTTTTCAGCCCAAAATTAGAGGTTGCCTTTTTAAGAAAAAGGTCTAGCCACACGCACAAACGCAGTTCTTATTTTTATTTTTTGTGTATGCGCGCGTAGAAATATCATTGGTTGCTGATATTGTGCGCACGTATATAAAATTATTAGAATGTAACTGCTTCAGTGGAAACTACGCATAGTGTTATTGTATGCTTGTTACTGAGGATGTCATGTGATACTTGGGCTTATTGATTGTACTTACGCTCATATTTGGAAACAGTTCATCCGGATCGGATCATCCGACTGTTTAAGCATACTTTGATACAGTGCGGCTAGTAAATTTTGTCCGTTTTGAAAAAAAAAAAAAGAAACGGAACGTATAAAGTTACGAAGACTTTTGCAGTCACCCTTTGATTTGTTGTTTATTAAAAGACTCATCTTTTTTTTTTTTTTTTCCTTACGCGTTCTTGCGAATACTGACAACAACAACAAAACTACAGCCAATATCTCAAAGACTGAAACAGAAAAGTAATTTGGCAATTTCATATAAAATAGTAGTATATAGACTAACACTAGTTACGTAGAGCATCTGGTAGCGCCTCGTCAGCAGAAAGTAAAAACATCAACAGAGCAATTGCCGACGAGTATGGAGAAGCAAGACAGGCTTCAGACAGCCATACAGACTTGGTTTTCAAATGTTTTTCGAACGAGATAATGTGCCTGAAAATAAGCTTGGAAGACTACGGTCCAAAAGGGATAAAGAAGCTGAACGAGAGAAATCAAGACTCCCAGAACGATGAGAAGCTTTTATACAAGACTTCTCTCGCAGTACCAAGCAAAGATCGATGGCACTAACGCAATTGGAATAACCATTAGTGGTAAAAATCAATAGATAAATTGTTTCTTAGCTTTTGATGCTGACAATATTTAATATAGGTGTATATATTACAGCAATGGTAGAAAATTTTAATCATAGATCTACCTCCTTCATGTCCAAATAATTGAAAATGCCGGAATCATTGGATGAAATACCTTTTTTGTTGTCTCTGGTCTTAAAGTTAGCGTACAGCTGTGTACAAATAACCAAGGCCAGTATAGATAAAATCATTCAAAAGACAAGACATGGACTTCAAGAGAGTGAAGTTGAGTGTTATTTTCCTCCACGCTCTCACAAGAAAGAAGCATCCAACCAAAAAAGGAAGGCTTAAGCCTACGGTTTCCAGACCCTGTTGCTCCACCCACCCTTATACAATATCAATAAATTCATTCTGTCGTCGTGTACCTACTTTTATAGTTTTCTTTTTTCTTCTTAAACATTACCTTGACTTATTATTAGGTCAAATCGAATTGGCACTTCTTGGGGATGATTGTCGCTACGATGTAAAAGCTTTGTTCCTTTTCTTTCACTCT